TAAACTTCTGTAATCAATTCTTAAAGATGGGATCGTGAGAAGAGGCTTTCTTGAATTCTTAAATGATGCTGATAACAATTTGTGCCTTTTATATTTCAAAGTCATTTTGTTAGATAGGAAATCCTTGACTTTCTTGAGAATCTTAAACACACTGCTCCACCTGCATCTGGTATAAAATAGTACAGCTGAAAATTCTAATAATCTAGTAATTTCCTCTTTACAGTCCAGTAATTTCACTAGAGTACGTCTTATTGATGGTTATTTTCGGTCAATATTAGTTATCTGGTGTGCTCTTTCAATACATAATTTCTAATTTCAGGGAAGTGCTTCTAATATATATACATATATATATATGTATTTTTTTTTTTTTTTTTTTTTTTTTTTTTTTTGCAGTACGTGGGCCTCTCACTGCTGTGGCCTCTCCCATTGCGGAGTACAGGCTCCTGACGCGCAGCCTCAGGGGCCATGGCTCATGGGCCCAGCCACTCTGCGGCATGTGGGATCCTCCCAGACCGGGGCACGAACCCGTGTCCCCTGCATCGGCAGGCGGACTCTCAACCACTGCGCCACCAGGGAAGCCCTAAAATATTTTTAATGTCTTTTTCTTGCCTTGGTTTTCTTATGAACTCCTATTGGTACTATGTTTGACCTTCTTTACCTATCTCCAATGTCACTTTTTAATCTTTTAAAAATCTTTAAGTCTTTTTTATTAAAAAAATGTTTACACCTTCTATTTCTTTTAAGGCATTGTTTTATTTATCTGCTCTTATGTTGCTATTTATGATCCTAAATTGTTTTATTTCTAATTCTTTCCTGAGTTCTGCCATCTTATAATTCTGATTTGATGTTGTTCTTTCATGTCTTATACTATTTCTTAAAAAGCTCATTTTGCAATAATAAAATTAGTTTTCTTTTATGGGCACATGTTTCTGGAATGCTCCCATTTTCCATAGGGGTGTTATTCTGCTTATTCTTTTTCCTTATAACTTCATATGGGATTTGGCCTTGATGTTATTATTTTGCTCATTTTCATGTACAATTAATTTTCCTGAACTTATGGACTAAGGAGTCAGGAAAGCTTTGTTAACTTCACAGATTCATTCTTGTGTTGCTTCTGCATTGTGTTAAAAAGTATGGCAGCTTGATTCCTGGGACTTCCTGGCTCTACTTCCCCTGCCCACCTTGAACTAGACAACCTCCTTTATCTACTGTCCCTATCCCACCCAATTTTGATTCTACTCCCAGCAACTCTTCTTCAGTGTGAGGCCTTGTCCTGGAAGGGATCTCTGGCAAGTTGGTTTTGAGAATTCCTGGGATGACAGTGACTCAGCCCCTTCAGTCCTGGTGGTTATACTGTGGTTCTCCTGCCCTTGGGTTTATCAGATGCTACCCTGCTGCCTCTTTCAAATACTGCACGCTTCCACATCTTGGAGCTGGTGGTGCTTTATCCCCAGCTGCTCGTATTTCGGGAGTTGTGAGGGTATCTTGTTACCTAGCTTTGCTGTCAACGTCATCATGCTGTTGTTCTAACACGGGAATTGAAGAACTATGCCATCACCACTACCTCCCAGGAATCCTTTCCATATATTAATTTTCATACAGGAGGTATGATGTGGATTACTTGTGTGACCACTGACAATGTGGTTAAATCCATGCTTTTCCTGACACTTCAGTTGAGAATGTCCCACTTCACATTTTATTGCTTCATGCCACGATGATCCATCTGCTGTTTAAAACCAGGCCTCATCCATTGAAATGATGCTTCATCAAAGCCTTTGACATCTCCTGTATTTATTTGACAAACTTGCCTAACTTCAACTCCTACTTCAAATAAGTACTCAAGAATTATGTCATTCTCAACTCATACCCAATCACGTAGCAATAAATCTTAGTTCAATCTCAGCAACCTGGCCTGGCCACTAGTAGCTGACTGGGAAGGCACATTTATAATAAAACTACTGAGATTGACCATTTCAATTCACCCACTCAATAAGGGTTTATGTCAGAACTAAATATATACCAGCTGTCATAATACCAATCTCAAAACCAGAAAATGGGACTTCCCTGGTGGTCCAGTGGTTAAGACTCTGTGCTTCTGTTTTGCTTACCGTTATATCCCCAGAGGTTAACACCATGCGTAAACACCTAACACAACGTCACTGAATTTGTTGAATGAATAAATGGGATCCTAGCAGGTTGTTTATATTAAACTCTCTTCAGTGGGGGATGTTTCAGTACTACCTGTTATTTAAAACAGCAATTTCATATTGTATGATGCTGGCTTTGTGGAACCACTGATGCCAACTGAATATGCTCCAGCCGCTTCCGAGTGTGGTAAGATGGGTAAGGAGGCTGAGCTGTTGGTACTGGCAGTGCTCAGGCAATCAATCTGGCTAATGTAACAGGCCAGGAAACAGGGCCGTTATAAGATGCAGCCAGGTGTCAGAAACACCACATCTGATCTGGTTCCCAACGTAAGGCGTTGAATTCAGGGAACCTCATAGTCAGAACTAAAGATATTGGTATCTTTAGCTACTGTCCCCCTTTATAACGCAGCTGTGCTGGCTTCTGTAGAGGCCTTTGATTCCTCTTTGATTCCATTCCTCTTTAAGTCTTTGATTCCTCTTTAAGTCCACTGTGGACACAAGGACCTCAGCAAGCCCCAATACGGCCTGTGTGAGTAACCACACATCTGACTGTCCAAGGCAAACAGCAACTGCTGAGGCAGGCCACCTCCAGATTCATAAGAGATGTACACAACATATAAAAGCAAGAAAACAGAAGTTTCAGCATGCCCCATAAATAAAAATTTAGCTTGAAAACAGATGTCCACAATAGGTAGACAAGCTACATGCTTCCTCCTCAAATGATACTATGTGAACATGCCACAATATGCTTTACTTAAATTCATCACCAACTTTTTTTTTTTGGCCACGCCGTGTAGCATGCGGGATCTTAGCTTCCCAAGCAAGGATCAGGGATTGAACCCGAGCCCCCCGTAGTAGAAGCGTGGAGTCTTAACCACTGGACCGCCGAGGAAGTGCCTGTCACAAACTTTAAACTGAAATAACATAACTAACCAACATCCCTCAGGCTTCTGAGCCGCTAACCAGCCATCAGGCTGTAGGCACTCCCATGCACTCTGGGCCTCCATAACATAAGACTGTGAGTGTGAGAGTCCCTATGGTTCTGGCCTGCTTTATCAATCAGTGAGACTCCGTTTTACCTGACTGTTAAGATACCCATTTCTCTTGACTACATATATAAACCATCTTTCAAAATGCCCAGGAGGCGGCCCTGAAGGCCATGCAGAACCCGCGCTAGTCATGACCCTGACCGGACGGCTGTTTTGACTTCTACCTCCGCAAGGGCTCTGTTGATAAGAGCTTCCACGACGTTGTCACTCTGGTATCAGCAGGTTCCATGAACGTTACAAGGTTCACGACAAGTTACAAGTTTCAGTGCTACCTGCAGTGCGAGCCACAAGGATTAGAACTACCTGGAAGATCTGGCTGTCGGTTAAAATCTTTACCGAAGACTGCTCTTCTGAAAACGTGGAGAGAGTAAGTGAAACAGAGGGAGGGGCAGGCTGATGAGAAAAAGTAAGAAACCAAACTTCTTTAAATTCGTATTGTAGTGATTTGTTAAACAGTTACCTTGTCCTGGAAGTGCTCTGTTTATGAGGACCATGGAAGTGCTTTTTTCTTTCCTGTGGGAGAAGGGAAGCAATGAGGGAAATGAAAGAGTTCATTTGAGTGCCATATTCACATAAGGCTAATTTGTAGAAGCTCAAAGCAGCTGAACACATTTACGGCCAGCACTGCCCCACAAAACTTCACTTGAGAAGGCTAATTGAGATTCTTCAGGAGAACTCCCGGCCTTCAGCAGTTAGGGAACGTTTCATTAGCATTCTGAGCCTCCCCCTTTTCTAGAAGGCTAAGTCTGACTCTCCTGGCCTGGGTTCACGGCTTGTGAATTTCCAGCAGAGTCTAATCACTATCATTGTAGGGCTGCTGATGCGGTTTTGCAGCCCCTTTGCCTTTTTTTTTTTTCCTTTTGGTTTCAAACTAAAGTTGCATTCAACACGACTGTATTAGTTATACAGGAATACTGTTTAAAAAAAAAAAAAAAACAGAAATGATGCCCCACCTCCAGGACTGTAACATACAGGCTGAACTCGCTAATTAAGACACCTCTGTCTCAAACTAGAGGCGTGCTTTCTATAAAAGAGAATCGTTAGAGCTGATGGCTGGAGTTCAGAGACCAGTAAACTCAATAAAATCTTATATTCTACCATTTTCAACTCTATATAGATGCAGTATTTGAACAGTTGACTTTTAAAGATCAGTGAGAGGATGACACCCATTTGACTATTCTTATTTTTTACTAAAATGACATGTTGTAGGTTCCTCTGTATATTTTTTTAAATGCTTAAAGATGTTGGAGAAATCAGTGTCATGGGAAACTGCATGTTTACTTTAAACATTTAATTAGAAGCCTCTCCCACGAACTAGGAAAAATTTCCTCTCACTGCTATCTTAACATCTATTATTACAGGCTTACAAAGAACCATAGGATAAAACTAAAATAGTACAAAGGTCTCCAGGTATCTGCCATGATTATTATTGATGAGTTTTCATTTGTATGTAAGCAATGACACATACACACACACATTTACATACACATATATGTGCATACGTGTATATAACCAACTGCCTAGGCCCAAAGTTTGGCTGAATTATTCCATCTGTACTTTTCACATAAGAAAAACAAAAATCTATACATTTGCCTCTATCTAAAAGGTAACATCGTCTTCCAAGAAGTATTTCATAATTTTTCTAGAGTAAAAGGTAAAATTTCTTACTGCTGTAACATTTAAATAAGTATTTTCCTTCTATTGGATTATAACAACATACTTGAATATACTTTTTCCTTTCAATTTCCAACTACTTTTTTTAATGACATTCTGAAGGAACGCCTATTAGTAAATGAAATTCCACTGACAATTTATTTCAGCCTTTAATATATTTTCTACTAAAAATCAAGCTGTCAAGACAGAAAAATATTACTGGTTTTGTTATGACAAGAAAACAAGTGAGAATTTTTAATTCACAAAGGATGAAAACACAAGACATTGATCTCATTATACATACAATATTACAATAAGCTGATTAGCTGTGGACTATTAAAACATTCAAGACTTCACATACACACAGGTGTACTTGGAAACAAGAAACACAGGACAATTTTAATCTTTGATATGTCATAACTACCAAGAGAAAGAACATCACTGATTTGAGTCTAATTGTTTTCCTGGCATTACAATCACTATATAGGCCAGGCCTAAAGCATACTGTATATTGTTAAGGACATCTTTAGGCAAATATAAACATTCTCATTTGGGAGCTTTTTCTCCCTACCCAAAAAACAATACTTTCCCATTGCTGTCAAGTAGCTTGGTTTGTTATCAATTTAACAAGATCACAACAACAAACAACATTTTCACCACAAAACTCAGGTGAGAGGTTTTTACGCAGGTCATACAAAAAATATTTGTCCCCAAGAAAAGTAATCTGTAAATTATAGATGCAACCCTAAGAAAAAGAATCTTGGTTACAAATCATTCACTTTCAAATATTGATGAAGAAATAAAGAGTGGAGGGATGGGAGGGGGTGGGAGGGGATGGAAGGGGTGGGAGGGGGTAGGAGGGGGTGGGAGGGGGTGGGAGGGGGTGGGAGGGGTGGGTGGCAGAGGCACTGGCATGGCAGGGAACACAAAAGGTGTGAAACGAGGAAAACATTTGCCACAGGAAGTACTGGATTCAGTTGATTTTTTAAAAATGAGGTATTATAAGAGTGTGCCAGTAAATGCAAAAACAAAACAAAATTATAAACCAAAATACACATTTCCAATGGAAAAATCTCTAAACCTCTTATAGTTTTCTTTATTCGGATTAGACATTTCATATACAGCAGTTAATCTAGAAAAATACATTTTAAAAAATCTTCAGCAGACCATGCTCTCTGTAACAAAACCTTCCAAACCCTGTTTTATTATACAAACCAATCTACAATAGTAATGCAAAAAGAAATTCTCAAATTTAGCAATGTCATTTTCGATCTGACTTCCCTCTAATTTACACATGGGTTTCCACTATTCGTACTGCAGTTAGAATTCTGTAATAAATTTTTTCTAATGTATTCTGTACATATTAAATAATCTAAAAGGTTCCTCTTGTAGTGCATTTACCATTTAGCAAGTCTATTCAGCATTGTTCCAGTACCATTTGCATGACAGTGATTTGCCTGTAAATGTAATTAAAATCTAAAAGTGCACACAGTTAACTTTCTCAAATAACGGCCTATTTCTGGAGGAACCCTAATATTCACGGAGAATTACCAATATCGTGATTAGAAATGAGAGGTTAGAATGTACTCTGAGACTATGTAACACAATTATATACATAAGCTAAAGGACAGTGAGTCTTTAGCCTGTATTTACATCAAATAACGTTGGTCTCCACAGGGTCATACCAAGAACTCAGTATGGCACTAGGTAGATTAGGGTTGTTAGCTACAAGTCAGTGTAGCACAGACGGCCCCCAATACCCTGAACCGGCTTATGCTAAATTAAACTCCAGTATATCACAGTGTTTTAAGTACTGTTAGTATGCTGCTGTGCTGCTCCGTGAAGACAGCAAGCCTTCATCGAGGGATCGCATCTGGGTTATAATGGGTCCTAGCAATCAGACTGCCACTGCATGCAGAAACCCCGAAAAAAAACAACACAGGTTTCAAAACAGATATACTTCATTTCGTTTAAAATGCCCAGGAGCGTTTTCAAAATAGGTGATAGTAAGTATTGTTCTATCGAGTGATGAACCTATTGAATCATGAGAAGAAATTCTACGTCATCCAGTTTGAGGAGAAAAAATGTAGTATTCTTACCAAATTATCCAGTGTATATGACTGGTTAGAATCGCAAGTTTTGATTTTTACTGGAATTCAGAGTATGAAATGCAAACATTCAGGATAAAATTAATTCAAACGTACACACAGTTCTATCAACTTGCAACAGAGCAGCAAATATGAGGGCCTATCACACATCTGGACTCTCCCATTCCCTTCCGGTCCCTCAGAAAAGTGCAAAATCAAAGAGTCACTGCTTGGTCCAAACATAAAATACATCAGGTGTAAGGACGTGGAATCTGATGAAATCCGGCTTCTATTCCACAGGTTCTCTTCAGTAAGAGTCAACGTCCGAAGATGGAATTTACCTCGAGAAGAATTAACTCTACAATCTGATTCTGGTAGACGGTATGAACTGCTATGTTGCCAGTCTCCTTCTCTGGCTTTAACAGAGTAGGACCAAACACAATTGCTATACTCTGATACGTCATTCTGTTTTTTTCTCCGTTTTCTATCACTCTAAGAGGAAAAACAAAAATTTTAGTTAAAAGAGAAAATTTTTAAATAGGGGAAATTCTTCAAAAAATATTATAAACAGCTTGCATTTAGAAAAGAGGAATAATGCTCATTTTCCTAAGGTACATATAAACTATTTAACCAAATAGAATTCAGTCTGAATAGCACGTAAATCTTTCTTTTGCATAAACACAGCTGAAAGGTATACATATTCTCACAAACTTTAAATGTGTGATATTTCAGCTTAGTTTTAAAAATAAGACATAGACTTGAATACCTATTACAATTCAGGTAACAATGATTCCTCTGCTAGGGTGACGGGGAAAATATCATTAGGGCACAGAGATTAAACTTTGAATTTTACTCATTTTATGCTATTTTTTTTAAAAATCTCTCATACTGTGATCACTTATTTTAGTAATCTCGTGTTCTTTCTATCAGAAGTTTCAGAGTGACTATGTAGTAACTCAGACCTAATTACCTTGACTTCAAGGTAACTGAATATTCCTCACTTAACCAATCTCATCTTCATCATAATTAACTTTTAGCCACAATTTCTGAACACTTACTACGTGCTAGGCATTATATAAATGCTTCACATATGAAATCTACTTCAGTGTATTCTTTATACCAAACCGTTTTACCTACGAGGAACTGGGGCTCAGAGAAGTCATCTTTCTCATGTTACAAACAGGCGAGCAGCACAGCGGGGCTCTGAACCTAGGTCTGCGTGGCCCTGGCCCCGGGGGTCCTACACCACATCTCATACCCGTGCACTTCTCCGACCTTCTTTTTCCCCCTAATTATTCCTTCTCTTTTGTGGTGAGACTCTTACCTTTTGAGATGTCTAAACAGAGTCTGCATTGTGTCCTGATTAGGCTTTGGCAACTGTTTGATTAGATCCTTCACAGCAGAGACACGCTGTCTTGGTTCTTGTTCTGAAAAAAGACAATGACTGGAGATTTTGCATGAAACTGAAAGCAGTGACATTATTTTGGAACCTGGTATTTGGTAATACACAGTGACACCTGGTGGTTACATTTAAAATTTCTGGAGTAAAACAATCCTTTGAAAAAACTTGTTTAAAATATCAAGCAGTGTTGTAGCAGCTACAGAGGGTTTTCACCATCTAGGGAAAAAACTGAGTGGAGTTAATTACATACTTACTAATTGCATTAACAAAATCATTAAAATGATTAAATGTAAAGAGAGGTTCTGGTAATTCTCGAAAAAACATTTTCAGTGCTCCAGTGATGACATGAATATCTTCCCATTTACTATCCTTCAAGTCCAATTTCTCATCTGGAAAACAGTAGGAACGGGAAAGTTTCTGAAATTATTTTAAACCAATTCTAACAGTCGTGAGTTAGTTATTCTGTATATAACAATACATGATCTTACCATGATTGACTGTAAACCTCAGCTTCTGGATCACTGCAAGGTTGCCACTAACTCTATAAATCCCATCAACATCCAACCCTAAGAGACAAATAACAATAATTTTATGTTTAAAGTTCTTGTTGGCTTCTTCTAAAGATGCTTTCATGTTTTAGAATTCTTATTTATTAACATTAGCCTAAAATAAAATTACTCTTTTCCTCTAAATGGCTTTTTATAGATGCTTGGCAGTGAGAGGGGGGTGGAGATTCGCTCTGCATCGTCTGGTAAACAGCAACAAATCTACTTTATCATGTAGACCGTGGATCACCATCTCAAGGAAATCATCTCAAACTTGAAATACTAGCAATTTAAGATAAACTTCGGCAAACACCTGAAGATAATTCAAAAAGTAAAGGAAGCCAGTAGATAAAATCAGCCCACCCGTTTCTTGGCACGTCATTTGAGAGTGTAAATGTACATATTAAGGTGCTCTCTGAATCAAAGTGCTTGTCATATTAAGTGCTTGTAATAAATAAACTTAATACAAGCCAGCAACTAAAATAATGGTTCTACAACAACTGATAATTTGATGCAGTTATTAATTTCTTTTACATATGAAACAGAATCATTTGAAATTCACACAACGAAGCCCCAAAATTCATATATTCATTAAATGATAATGATGCACACACTTAACACTATCTAATGTGCTACTCATTTACGTTCCAGTAAAGCCAAGGAGCATGGCGTCTCTACTGTCAGGCTAGCAGAAATCTCTGTGACTAGCAGAAATTACATTTTATGCAAATATTTTAATTACACAAGATATTTTTGATGATATACTGATATAAGTTAATGGGACTGCAGTCTAGATACTGTTATTTTAAAAGCCAGTATAAATATTATAAACATGTTAAAATTAACCAAAACAGAAATTAGTTTAAGTCTTCAGAAGTACAGGAAATGACATAAAGAGGATTTGTCTTTTGCACACTTTAGAGTTGATTTAGCAGTTTGGGAATGTCATCTCATTTTTATTATAAACAGAAGAAACTTCCCCTTAGTAAGTAAACACTATCTCCTCCTGTCTCTTACACTGCTGGATCATTTCTTAATAAACACAGTTTCACAATCACCACGTCCATTTTAAGCAAATGCCAACAACTCCCAGTGGCTTCAAGGAATACCATACGCTGAATCAACCCTAAGTACTGAACACGCAATAGATGACTGCAAAGGCCTTAATTTGAAACAATGAAAAAAAAATAGTTTTTTGCAAAAAAGATGCTTTTCTTGACAACTTATGACTATAAAGAACTTTTGGTTGCAACACTCAAAATCATAAAAATCCTAGAGATTTTGATGGCAAACAATGGGTGGTGTGCTTAACTTTAAAAAAAATTCATTTTCTTACCATGTTGCTCAACATGTTCAATGCACAACTTCACAAATTTTGGCACGGTGCCATTCTCTCTCTGACACAGATTAGCAAGATTGGCTCCAAATACCTGATCTGAAAGAGATTTCAAGAAATGAGTCACCTTGCTAAACTTTAGTTCACAAAATGGCTAAATGATTCACAGTGCAACAGAAGATACCCCTGCATGCAGACACTTTCACCACAACGCACGCCTGTCTGATCCGTACTCGCCTACCTCTTCCGACTCCAAGCTCCAAGAACACCCTCCTTCATTCCTGCCTGGCTCCCTTCTTACCTTCCCCTCCTGTGCGGAGATCAACCTTCCCCCAAACGGAGCTCCTTCTCACCACTCCTGGTCTCAGCTAAAATGCCACCTCCTTTTAAGAACCCTCTGACCATCCTAAGGCAGCCCAATTCCAGTCACTCGCTGTTTTATCACTATGTCAGATTCTTCAGGTAAGTCACCATTATTCTAAATTACCTTGTCTGTCTCTCATCTTTATAGAAGTTTCATGCGGGCAGGGACCCTCTCATTCTTGAATGCCAATAGTTATTCCCAGCACTGAGGCTCAAGTCCACCACTTAGCAAATACTCAAATATTTTTAAACTATTAAAACATGCCCATCTGGGCTTCCCTGGTGGCGCAGTGGTTGGGAGTCCGCCTGCCGATGCAGGGGACACGGGTTCGTGCCCCGGTCCGGGAAGATCCCACATGCCGCGGAGCGGCTGGGCCCGTGAGCCATGGCCGCTGAGCCTGCGCGTCCGGAGCCTGTGCTCTGCAACGTGAGAGGCCACAGCAGTGAGAGGCCCGCGTACCGCAAATAAAAAAAAAAAACAAAAAAAAAAACACATGCCCATCAGATTGGCATTGACATATATACACTAATATGTATAAAATGGATAACTAATAAAAACCTGCTGTATAAAAAAACAAAATAAAATTCAAAAAAACAAAAAAAAAACCACACGCCCATCGTGTGCCAACGTCTGATTTCACAAAATATATCAAAGTCCGTTCTAGTAATCTTTCAACCCAACAGTTCTGAAATTCCACATCAGTGCTAAATATTAAGGAAAACACACAAAATACAGTATTGGAAGTGGATGAACACCACCAGAAAGTGGCAAGTTTGTATTTCTCGTTGAAAAGGTCTGACGAAGAATGAGCAGCAGTTTCTATCCATTTATTTGTGAGGCTTTTTTGAAGGTTCTAAGCTCAACGTGCTAACTTCACGTGCATTATCTGGGGGTGCCTGCTTACCCTTAACTCTTTAAGGCTGCTAATCTGAATCACTTAATTAGCTGAACTCTTCCTAGAAGTTTTAAATAGCTTTTTAATGAAACTCATTTGTGTATTTTAATCTAGATGCTTTGCGTAACAGATGTTTCTGCAATGGTCTTTGTTAGAAACTTCATCATCAAAGACAGCTCTAATATATATGGTATAAATTATGTTACCTTTTCCTATAGTTTTATTATGAACAAAGGTCTCTGTTTTGAGTCATGTGTTAGAAAATTTTATCTTTGGAATTAAACATGCTTGTAAAAACTAAAGGTATATATATACAAGTATATGTGATTTTAAAGAATACTTTCCTATTAAGAAAATATTCTGTTAGTACATTATGGTTCTTATACATGAAAATAAAATGTAAAAATTAGTTAGAAAAAAACACTTTATCCTAATTTTAAAGTTACCTTAAATGAGAACTGGAGGCAAACAATCAAGAATAAAATTGTACATTATCTTTTCTTTCTACAGCTAGTGATTACTTGAAATTTCTTCTGATCTGTGCATCTCAAAACTAAAAATCTGTCATTCTGAAAATCTGCCACGCCACCCCATCACATCCAGGTAGCTCCTCTGGTACAGAGTTTCTAAAAAGCTAATTTGGTATTTATGTCTGTTTGATGCTTTAGTTAAAATAAACTCTTCATGCGCATTAAAAAATCAATTTTAATTACTCAAATGTATTTTAATCACTGAACCTGATAACTTTATGAATAAAGAATGAGACATTTTTACTGCTTGGAAAATTTTCAGCTTTTAATGTAAAATGTCTTATTTCCGATTTAGGCCAAAGTTCATTATTACAAACATCACTTCTACCTACCTTTAATATAACCTTTTTCACGAACAGCTTGCAAAGTGGGGCGTCGTGTAAGAAATTTCTTTAAGTTTTTCTTGGTTTTTTTCTGTTCTGAAGAATCTATGCTAGATACTTTCGTGGCTTAAGACAGATAGATATTAAGCATTTTATAAAATAAAGGCTTTTTTGATGAAAATTTTTCCACCTAGTACTCAAAACATATTAATCTCATATATAAAAAGTCACAGTATATAAATTCAGTTTTTCTAACTTTAATACGGTTTAAGAGTAACACATGAAGAATCAAAAACTAACACAATTTCAAAGTGACAAACCAAATGAAACATTTCATTTTTATCACTAAACACTGACCGCAAACTGTGCCTTCTTTAGTATATGTGCCAAGACATTTGTAAGTCATTCTAATTTATATTCATCATTTCACAAATGATACAGTCTTGGACTCTCCATCAGGTTTAGACGGTAAAATGACCAGCAGAAAATAAAGTAACCAACCCATAAAACATAAACAAAATCCCTACCCTTCCCCATACTCACTGAACTAGGAGTCAGGGGATATATATGTATAAATATCCATCACAACTATTTGTACTTCAAGCTAAGACTCATCATAACTATCTCTACTCCGAGCTAAGGATGGGACCACCTGGATTTCCACATTGCCTGCAGACCTGATTTATCTTTGGGTTACAATAATAAAAATTCAGAAAGTAAATTTCTTGGAAATAACCATATTTGAAGAAAGTTGAGAGCACAAACAATATATTAGTAAAGAATTAAAACAATAGAAGTTTCATGGTTTACACTATTATACAGAGACAGTGTCAGTACTAGGCCTAAACTTCATAAGAATGTGGGAGAAAAAAAGGAGAACTGATTTTCTAACCATTCAGTTAATGTGAAGACCAAAAATTTCTCAGTTAAATGTGGATTTGTTAAAATAGATTTAAGCAGGTTCAAGTCACGGGTAATGGCCTATTTAAAGCACATAATTCACAAGAGGCCTGTGTTAGAAAATGCAATCCTTGGGACTTCCCTGGCGGTCCCGTGGTTAGGACTCCCGTGCTTCCACTGCAGGGGGCACGGGTTCCATCTAAGATGCCTCATGCGGCATGGAGTGGCCAAAAAAAAGGAAAGAAAAGAAAATGAAATCCTTACAACTGCTGGCGTTTCTCTGGTCCTGTAACATAATATGTGGTCTGGAGATTAAATGCACAGACATATCCCAGTCTAGAGGCGGCTGCCTGGCATCCAATAGGGAACTATGGTACATATCCCGTGACTTCTGACTTCTTAATGTCTAAGGGTCTATCTAGAATCTTAGTAATTATGTATTTTCCAATCAATAAAGTTCAGCTTCCTAGAGGCCTCAACACAAGCGCATTCTGTTGTGCACATTTTTTTCTCTTGAAAGGGTATCATAATATCTTAAAATTAATGTGATTCCATCGGGGTGCATACGATTAGGCTGAAAAGTGATGATGAGTTGGGCTTCCCTGGTGGCGCAGTGGTTGGGAGTCCGCCTGCCGATGCAGGGGACACGGGTTCGTGCCCCGGTCCGGGAAGATCCCACATGCCGCGGAGCGGCTGGGCCCGTGAGCCATGGCCGCTGAGCCTGCGCGTCCGGAGCCTGTGCTCCGCAACGGGAGAGGCCACAACAGTGAGAGGCCCGCGTACCGCAAAAAAAAAAAAAAAAAAGATTATGAGTTAACGAGGAGAGAGAACACTGAACCACTGAGACTGCAACTCCTGAATCTTAGAAGTCTTGCAACACTGGAGAGTCCACTCAGCTTTCATATATTTACTCTAAACCTTTGCTAAGAGAATAAGCTCACTCAAACCACTAGCAACACCGGGAAAGAAAACTTACAACGCGATTTCTTCAGATCCTTATGGTCCTTTTCTTTATCGTGCTTTTCTATTCCTGGTGAATCTGGTACGTCCTCCTCAATCGCTTCATCGGGTTCTACTGTCTGTTGGTTAGAGATTTTCCAAACACATATTACTTTTGCTATTACTTTAGATGTAATTCTCAGAATGATCAGTAGTCGACTCTTCCAAATGATTTTAGGGAACCAATTAGTATATACGATATATGATTTAGCTATTTGATAAATCTTTAAAAATACTCTTCCCCCTACCCCCAATGATGGCATTAACTGAATTTCGATAAAGAAAAAATTACTGATAATTCACAAGGATAATGCTCTTGTACTGATGGTGATGCTATCTTGCCTCATTTTGATCAAGTGACAAGTAATAACAGTTAAAAGGTTGGGCTATATAATCTGTGGTGATAGAACAGGATGATGGTACATTGTTGATGATAGGACAGATAAAGCTAACTAGCAATGGTACCTTAACTGCTTCACACCAACAATCTTTTAAAATTGCACTTTGTGTCAACAGTTAATTGACATCACTCATTACTCACAGACCTACGGATATCAGGAATTGAAAGAAATCCTAGAACTCATTTACAGCCTAACTACGGTCACTTTTACAAGTTAAAAAGCAGACTGAATTCTCAAAGCTAAAAACACTGCTCTGCCTTTTACTCTGAGGTCCTCTCTCCACCCAGAGTTTATTTTTGTGCACAGTGTAAGGAAAGGCTCCAATTCTTCTCAGACATCCAGCTGACCCAGCACGTGCTCTACCTGGCACAGAGTGTCCAAAGGTACGTGGGTCTGTCTCCAGGCTCTTTATTCTGTTCCACAGGTCTGTATATCTATCCCATTATGGATACACAGCTTTATAAGGTCCTGACATATGCTACAACAAGTCTTCTTCAAAGGTGTCTTGCATATTCTTAGCCCTTTGCATTTCTATATGAATTTTAGAATAAGTTTGTCAAGTTCCCCCAGAAAACCTACTGGGATTTTGAATGACATTCAAAAATCTCAAACCTACAAATTTATAAGCCATTTGGAAGAATATTATATCTTTACATAATTGAATTTTTTAATCCATGGACATACTTCTCATTTAAGTTTCTGTCAATGTCTCTTAATAAAGTTTTGTAATCTTGCCCATCTCTTTGCCCTCAGTATCTTTTGCCACTTCGTAAATAGTACACATTTAAAATTTTTAGAGTCAATTATATGTTCCTCTCTTTTCAGTTGGCTTATTCCCTGAACCCTTAGGCCTTAATTTAAAAAGCCACTTTCTCTGCAAGGCCTCCCTTGATCCCCACACTAGATTAGCCCCTACTTAATCGGAGTTTTTATAGTTCATTATATGAACTGTTCAGTTGTCTGTCCTCAGTAACCTTCTGTCTTTGATTGTAAGCTCCATGCATTAGGTGCAGCATCCGGTTGCACGCTGCTATACCCCAGTGCGTAAGGCACTCACATGTGTGTGAGATGGACGCGGCCACCCTTGCTTTCAAGGGGGGTAGCGAGCACATTACGGTGACTAGACCTGCAAGTCCGTACTGGGTAGAGGAGAAGGTACATTTGAAAAGACTGGGCTCAGGTTGCTGAATTCTAATAGGAGTCACGTAAGGTTTCTGTGCAGGGGAGGATTATAAAAGTGACATCAGGAAGTTTCATACAGTAGTGGCATTAACAGTGCATTGGTGGGGGATGAGATGAAATAAGGAAAACTGTTTAGGAGGTTACTCTTAATATCAACATTTAAAGGCCTGCCCATGGTTTCAGGAATAAATGGAAAGAAAGGGACAAGGTTCAGAAACATCCACAGTATTACAAACTGCAAAGGAAGAATTCACATCTAGATTGGTAAATAATTTGCTAGAAGAGGTAAAAGTTGGAGGCGGAAGAGTTAAAGAATACTCAGATTCCAAATCTGGGTGATTTGAACTGGGTGAATCATAAAATTTTGGAGCTTAAAAGGATACTTGGAGACAATCCAGTGCAATCTCTCTATTTTTTTTAAGTAGAAAAACTGAGACTCACAGAAGGAGAACACCTTGATACAATCACAAACCTTACTAATAATGAAGCGTCACCTATAAAGTCTCTGAAAGACATCTCCATCTCCACTAAAGCCAGTGATTCCCAAACTTTTTTTGTCTCCATTTAGTTTAAAACCTGTATTACATACTCCCGTAAGTATTCACTTTCATTTCACTTCTGTCACTGATACATGATCCTTAATCAGGAACCATGTCCCCATATGGTGAGGGGGTAAGAGTACAGCCTAAGAAAGTACAGCTTCTAGTTGGTTATCACTGCTCTTACAAACACAGCTTCAGAATATAAATGCGAGGTTCTTTTTGGTTGTAATACACATGAGAAGAAATTTTCCAGGAACATGAGGGTACTCTGAGTAGAAAGGTCACTAGGAAAGAAAAAGTACAAATGACAAGACGACAGCTTCATGCATCTCACCATTTTGCTCAGGATCTGTTTCCACCAAATAGGATGATTTCCAAAGCATTCACTCCATGAATAAATACTACATACTAGGCACAGTTAGACCGTCCCTACCTCCTGAGCTATTTTCTTTTTGAACCAATGCCTCATGTGAAAGTTATGTGAAATCTACTGGTGGCAAAATCCTATAAATGCCAATGTTAAATGACTCATCAGCCCCTGGGAATTGCTAAACTAATCACTGTCTTTCCTACCTCTTTCAAAATATGTATTTTTTAAAAGTATTTTTTTAAATATAAATTGGAAACTAGATATATAATAACCAGTTAGAAAGCCAAAAAACAAAACAAGAGAAGCAGCTCTAAAGTTAAAAAAAACATTTACCTGAGTCAAACACATACCTGATTACTGATAGTGCTACTAAGAACTTTAAACCACTCATTGATAACAGCATCATTATCAGACTGAATCAGCAGTTCGGTCCCTTGACGGGTTTTCAGCTTTAGAGATAAGAAGGAAAAAAAAAAAAAAGCATGGTTAGTGCTTTCAATGAAGTAAATAAATACATTTAATTCAAAGTCTACAAAACCACCAGAAGATTGGATGCCATGTATCATATTAATGGTGGAAAGGTTACAGTACTCCACAGTGATGGAATTATCTTTTCTTTTAGTATAAAAGAATACCAGCTGGATAATTTTATAAAACATGACGTTTTTCTCACAGTAAATTCTCAATGAAAATCTAATAATTTAGGATCCCAAACTCCGTCACACAAACAACATAAAACTTGCTGGAATCTAGAATACTTTATCATTAAAAAATAAGTTCAAGTACCTACGCTGTGCATTTTAAATGAGAATTGAAACATAATTTGTTAAGAAATAAAATCTATAATATTTTAACATAAGTTTGAGAATTTCTCTCTCTGGTTAAAAAAATATATATAGAAAGAGAATATACAAGAGTTAGACTTTCAATATTGACTATTTAATAGGAAATTATACATCACAAGCCTTCTGGACAGAAACATCACTAAATTGTAAAATCATGAACTAACTAAAGTAAGGACACGATATATGATTCTACATGAACGCAATAACCCATTTATGTATGATCTCCTGGGTTCAAAGTTTCTCACACCTGACTGAGGAAGAATTTTGAGGTATTTATAGAAATCATTCCTCCTATTTTATGTTTGGTAAGTGTCTGATTTTCTTTTTTCCTAGAGGAACATATGGCAATGTTTCCCAAACAACATTCTGAGATATATTCCTCAAACAGCTCCTGAAGTAATGTTTTAAAAGGCATTCCTCAAAAAAATAAAGAACTCATTATGTGATGTTAATTTGGGAAGTGCTAGATTGAAAAGAGCTAAACAAGACTCCATCCTTCAAGACTTCTCAGAGTTTTGCTATTCCAGGGTGCACCGTGACTTCCTAACAGAGGAATAAAATATATACTTTCTCCCAAATTTATTTGACCATGGGACCTTCTTCATTCTGGAATGAAACAAGGCTACCTCAGGTAACAGTGACTTCCTTTCCTGCATTTCTTCTAGAAAGTGGGCCAAGATACTCTGTTAGAGGGTCTCACTTTGTAAAAGTAAGGAAAAGCATGCAGTCTCTTTGCTTGAAAAGAAAGTTTTTTTAATAATCTAGTGGGGGAATAATTTACAGATGAGGAAAGCCCCAGGTACATGAGAACAAGCGCTACATTAAAAGCATAGAGCAGCAGCATCTGTGCTGTGGTAATGTTTCTTGTGGGTCTTGGAAGAGAGGGAACATTTGACAAGGAGAGACTAGCAACGGTTGGTATTAAAGGCAGATCCATCAGGAGTGAAAACCATCAAGACAGGAAAACCCGGGTTCCACGTGGGAAATATCAACTGTTCTAATCTGCCTAGACGACAAGTAGGAAAGCCCTGAGACAGGAGAGATTCTTTGCAAAGACAGTCCGAGCGCCCTCTGCCCTCTGCATACGCAGCCCTGTGCAGTGTTGCTGCCCCTCCACCAGCGGGGGGGCCGTGCTTTAAGCCACAGAACACACTGCTGTTTGGCTCTTACATCTGGTCCCCAAGAAGCCTTGCGGCTCCCACTCTGGCCCCCCCTGGAACCCTGACATGTGAAGAAGCCTGGGGTCACCTCCTTGAGGAGGAGAGATGGTGACCGGGAGCCCAGCCAACAGTTGGCACCAACCCAGAGGGGGGAACTAGACGGTCCAGCCCCAGTCAGGCCACTGGATGACTGAAGCCGGGTGACTGGACCCAGATGCGACCAGAAGAACCATTCAGCTCCGCACAGGCCAAACCAAACAAGCAAAACGGTTCTTTCCTCAGGCTACTAAGTTTGGGGATGGTCTGTTAGGCAGCAATAAGTAACTGATACAGGATCGTGCATTACCGCGGAGGGCTTTTAATGACAAATAGGAAAGTTTTAATTTGTTTTTTAATATTAGATTTGGTAGGCAAAGGGAACCACACCCTTTTATTGTTGCTGGGGAAAGGCACGACTTGTGGAACAAAGGCTTGTAATACATCTTCGGAGATCCAGTGACTTATGCAAATGAAGCCAGATCTTTACACCAGCTTTTTTCCTTAAATTATGAATCAAAGTAACTTAATGACTAACTTTGCCTTAACTAGTCACACTGAAAGACCATTTCCCGAAATAACTCAAAACAGAACATGAAGCTACTATGGTTAAGAATGTGGATTATACTTAGAGAATAATTTATTACCTCAAATACATTCTTTTTGCTGGATTTATCCTTTGAAGCCATCTCAATCGTTGCCCCCTTAAGGTCCACCGTGAACTCTGGTTTGGACTGATTACTCCCAAACTTCGTTTTAGAAAAAAGGAAAAACCTTTATGTTATATTCATGTACGTGTGTGTATCCAAAAAGAACACGACCAAGTTTATATTGTTGACAATCAATCAAAGAGGTGGTCCCCTCAAATCCCTCGTCTCTTTTCGTATTATAAAGTAACAATTCCTACTTTAAACCGAAATTGAAAAATGTAAGACATGATTATATACAGTTCATAGAAAAGGAAACAAAATGGCTCAACCTCCATCATTATAAGAAAAATACAAAATAAAGCCATAGTAAAATCTTTTTTCACCCATTAGTGCAAAAACAACAAAAAAAAGTTCGATGAAAAACTGCATTGGTGAGGCTACAGAGTAACAGGCCCTCATTTGCAAGCAGGATATGGATCAGAACTCCTAGAGAAGAAAAGCTGCTCATACGGTATTTACAAATTTATAAAGACATGTATCCTTTGGCTCAACAATTCTATATTTTGGAATTTATTCTAAATATCTATGACTAGGTAAAATGATGTGTTCAAAAGGCGATATTCTTACATACATATAAATAATATCTGGCAGAAAAACAAGTTCTTTTCCACCTAGTAAATACTCTAAACCTGATTTCGTGCTTTCAAGGGTTATTTTCTTATCAACTATTTATGTTGTCAACAACTAACAATAACTTGTAAAAACAACATCCTAAGCCCCATGTTCTTCTATTCAGCCTTTGTTAGAAATAAAAACTAGAGCCAGGTGCTCTAAAGCCTCAGCAATTTAATGAGGAACCATGAACAGAAGAGGAAAACAGTGGACATGGGTGGTTTGAGAAGAAGCAGCACTTAACTATTATATTTTGTTAACCAGACAAGGAAAAGATTAGAAAATATCAGAAAATTTATGTTAAATATAGACCTACTCTGTATCTTGCCATCATAACTTAAATTTCTGTTTAGTCTGTTAACTGAGAATAGAAAATAGAATTCCTATGTTAGTGTAGGGTTTGGGGGTTTTAAAATCTTTAAGGGCTGATGAGTTGTAATCTTTAAGGTCATAAAGATTTGTTACAGGAAATTTCATTTGCTAAAATATTTTCAAATTATGTTTGTCATTGGAAATGGATCTTACCCCCCAATCCTGTGATAACTTACCACTATTCATAACATTAATGACTACTGCGTAGTTTCACATTTAAAAAACGGTTTGACTTCCTCTGTTCCCGTTTACTTCATCTTTTCAGTGTGGACTTAAATAATATACTTGTTATAACTAAACAAAACTTAGGATGTTATATTGAATTTATTAGTGGAATCAAAACAAAATTTAGGGTATTTCATGGAATTTTATTAGTGGCATCATAATAAAATTCACAACAAAAATTTCAACAATTCTACAAAGCCTCTGCCTTCCTTAGTACCTTTTGTCATTCAAAAGACATGTAATTAATCATAAAGCTATGATGGGCACAGATAACTTTCTGAGCAAATTTGATATATCTCAAAAGTCACAAAACTTAAATGGACACATTTAACAAAATGATAGAAATCAACTTAATTTAACTTGTCATCATGACATGTTCTGTAGATAGTTAGCTATAAGGTAAGATATAAGTAGCCAACCAAATAAATTATAGCAACCAAATACAAATATCAATACAATCACATAACATGGAATGCTATAAAAATGCTTCAATGTGGTTGGCAAAATTTCGGGTTTGTTATCCATTATTTCTCAAAATCTAGTCCTGCTTTTCTCTACTGTAATCATCGCTCCAATGCATTCATGGCAAAGAAAACAGAACTACCGTGGCAAAGGACATGCAACAAGAAAACATACAGTGACAGCGGACACAGGAGCAGATTTTACATATGCGACAGCAGGCCGGCGGCTGACAGAGTTTGTCCAAGAAGAAAGCAGCGAGAGCAGGAGCTCAGAGACTGAGCCCTGCCGGCAGAATGACTTGATGGGAAAAGGGAAGAAAATGACGATGTCATTACAGTGCACAATGGCAAAATGACGTACAAGAGAAAACCATAACGGAACCAGAGAGGACAAAAACAGGACTCCGTAAGCAGGTAACACAGGCCAAGCTGCATCTCCAAAATATTTTTCAAAGGCCCTAGAATTTATCTCAGAGTATTTTCTGACTTCTGAATTTATTCTATAAATTCATGTTTTATTTTTAAGATGAATGCTTTATACAACTTACTTTAAGCTAACTTGTTCTCCCGTATACTCACAATGGAAGCCTTGGGGGAATGGAGAGGAGTCCCTGAGCCCCTCCTATGGCCTGCGGGCCTTGTCCTCTGGTCCCTGTCCGCGTCCTCTCTCGGGAGAGGCCCTGCCACCCAGCTTGCCCTCCCCGTCCTCTAGGACAGTGGAGCTCAACCAGAGGCGATTCTGCCACTTGGGAACATCTGGCAATGTCTGGAGACTCTTTCAGATGGAGGTGGGGTGCTGCTGTTACCTGCTGAACCCCCCAATGCATAAGACAGTCCCCACAACAAAGTATTATCTGGTCCAAAGAAGCCACTGTTTTTAGAAATTTGAAAGCATCATATAAATGAATTTGAACAACTACCAATATCTGTGGGGTGACTTCTGAAATACTCAAGGAATATGAGTATTTAAATCTGCAGTGAACACAGTGTATGTCGTGTCGTCTTGTGACTGTGCACGTGCTGGTCCCCCTGTTACAGTGTAAGCTCTGAAGACGGGGGTCACGTTACTCACTTCTGAACCCCCAAGCCTAACACCAGGCCCAGAACAGAGCAAGCTTTTATGTCTGCTGAACAAATGAGGTGAAGGAAGTAAGAAAAGAGAAAGTATAATTTAAGTTACTGATACAACAACCCGGGAGATAACTAATATTTTCCGGAAAACAAGTGACGTCTACCTATCCCGAGGAGAAGGAAAGGCTCGGTGGCTTCTGGATGATACAGCACTGGTGTAAAATCATCTTACAGTGGAGCTGCGTGTGGCATATGCACATTTCATTTACTCAGTTTTTACTACCCGTGAAACCAAAAATAAACACAAAGCATGAATGGTTTTCTAAAAACAGAGCTTCCAATAGTACGGATGGTTTTACTCAGCATCCCGTTGATGAGTATATGCCCTGGAGTAAACTGTAAGATTTGAACTGGCTGTTTTATTTCTTCCAGGGGATCTCGGTATAGGTTTTTGCACCAAGTGTGACACTAATCTGTAAAGAACCATACTTCTCCAGCATGGCCCCGGAACAAACCATCTGAACCCAGCTGAAGGAAAAGCAATCTCTTCTAACATCAAAGGAAAAAACTGGCTCTGCGAGAGACTGACTTCTCACAGCATCTTCCCGAGAGACACTCAAGGGAAATTTTCACTACAGGTGATTTTTGTCCTTTGGGCTTATGTGTTAGCCTCAGGTTAGGTGTGATTTCACTGTATAAACAGGGTAACATTTTACCTACGGAAGATCTAGCTGGTGACCGAGCAGGGAAATAAAGCTAGGATTCTTTCAAACCCTTTTTGAACAATCCTAATTACTGGGTTAATTAAGAAGCATCTTGCATATTTCATCAATTTTTAATATTCATGAGTGTGTATATGCCACATATACTTACATGCTTTTTATTTGAATAATCTTACTAGCGTTTACTTAGGCCACTTAAATTAGTTTTCGTTCCCTTAATATGTGTTACATATGGGAAGAAAAAGCAAGGCAGTTTGAGATTTTTTAATTAGCCATAAAATAAAAATTAAGAATTGACTGTACAGCCAAGCATTTTATCATATCTGTTTAGTTTTTAAGACTATAAAACACCGTGTGACTATGTTTTATTTAATTATACCAACCTGAAATGATTACCATAATGTACTGTATTATTAACAACATATTAATAAAATTTCATTTAAAGGCAAAAATTCAAAGAGTGAATCTCTAAAGTTAAAACTCCATTAAGAATTCTCCAATTTCAAAATTGGCTAGCTCAGGGAATTTTAAGCTACGCTTCTGCTATTACCACATGGTAATGCTATAACACAACTTTAGCTGATAAACAGAAACACCCCACACCCTCTGTCGGCATGAGTTTTAATCATGAGTTCTGAATTATGTAAGGTCCCCAAGAGACCTACATAAAATGCAACCAGACTGTACTAATGGTTCTGTGCCAGGGTATTCACTTAACATCTTCAATTTTTTTTTTAATTTCATTTTCTTTAAATCACATGCATATCTGCCTACCTCAACGATGCCTCACTTACCACAATGATCTATGTACTTGCTTTATCTGTATATACCACAACCTTCAATCTTTAGGGGTCAGTAATTATCAAATAAATGACCATTATCCAGCTTTCTTCAGGAACTTTTTTGTTATTTTAATCTCTAATTGCTTCTCCATTCCTTTTCTTTCATTCACTTCACTCAGTTTCAAATAAAAGTTGAGCCACAAGTAGGAAGAAGAAATAACTGCATCTTCTTCTAGAAATGCATTAATATAAACAAAAAAGTATCATATGCTTCACCTCAGGGGAAAAAGGAGAAATAATTATCAATTTACTTTAAGACAAGTCAAACAAAAATTTCAGTCTTTTAATCTGGAAAGCATATCACAGGTCAGTTCCACCGTACTGGCTGACCAGAGAGCAAATCAAAGCATCAGTGAAGCAAAAGAGAAGAAACATTCCAGAAAGTTCACATTCATGCTCAATCCAGCAGATCTGGGGGGTTGCCATAGCAGAGTATTTGAGGACTAATATGCTCTGCGGCACTCCTGGCTCAGAACAATGTTACGTGGCTGCACTGTAAACGCAGAGGACTAAAATTTGCTTGAATTTTACAAACGGATTTCTCTTTTATCAAACGTAAAGTCAATAGGTCCTGTTAATTTTAAATCAACTCCGTAAGTGTAAGAAATACTGGTTAAGGCAGGATACAAAGCAGACTAAAAACATTAGATTAATTTCATTTTAAAACCTTTTTGGAAATACCCAGAGCATGGACTCTGGAGCCAAAATGGTACCCAGATCTGTCACTTAGTAGCTGTAAGACCTTGAGCGAGGCACTGAACTGTTTTATACTTCATTTTCTCAACTCCAACAGGGGGAGAGGGAATGATAAACAGTACTCTCCCAGAGTTAAGAGGATAATATATATACCATCCTCTACACTTAGAACAGTACCTAATATATTTTCAGCATTCAAAAAATGTTAGCTATTATGATAGGTCACAAATTATAATTTTTGGTATTTGTATTACAAATAACCAAGGAGCAGTGATAGTAAACACTCAAATATACAAAAAGCTTCAAAGTCCCACAGGTAATGGTGACATTTCTTTTTCTTCTCAAAGCTGGCTGATGTCATATATAGACATGGAAACCTGACTAGTATCCAAGGGTCAGATCACAATTCAAGGTGGGCCTTGTCACATGACTGCTTATTTTCTGACTAAATATCTGAAAGAGCCAAGTCACAGACACAGGAAAGCTTTGGCATCCTGAAAACAGACCAAGAAATATATGTTCTCTAATACCCAAGTAGTAAGGTCACCTTTCAGTTCAATGCATAAAATGTAATTGGTTGGTTTTAACAATATGAGTCAGACTTTTCTAAGTGGCCCTTTTCTTTCTCTTGTGAGTCAAAATGCATCTTTAACTAAGGAAACCTCATTTATTCTTATTTGCAAGCTAGCGGTAGCTGGGAGGACTCTGGAATACTTCGTGAAGTTCAGGTGCAACACCACCCACGTAATTTACATGCAGAAAGCCTCCAAAGAAAAGAAATACTTGCCCAACTTGTGCTACTTCCTTGAGTTTTGGTAAACAGTAAAGATGAACCCTGCAACACGGCCCAAGAAGACAACCAGTTCTTTCTGTAATGATAAAGACGGCCAATTAAAGCTCCGTATCCAGTTTTCCCCCCAAATTTAAAAACTTAAAACCTACTTAGCTGTTATCAATGTTGTCCACAATTTACAGTCATACTGACATTCCAACTGTTTTTACTGGGGATATAATTCTAATGGAAATGACAACCATTTTATGGTCCCAAAACTAATGAAGTCAACGAGAGATGTAAGTTATCAGAATAACCACACACCTAACTATGTGCACATGGGGGTAATCCAGCACATCTGTGATCAAGGACACTAATTTAGAGTCACACGAACTGCACACTGCATTTGGCAAGAATTCTTATTCACAATTAAAAATTCGACAAACATGCTCATCTTACGTAATTCTCTGTAGATACAGATTGTTTTATATCTCTTAGTTATCTTCCTTCCCTTAATAAGGCTATACCAGGTAAGCGGTAGATCGTATAAATTACATGCTGGTTGATAACTAAGGTTACTACTACTAAAATGAGGCTTTCAAAAAATCTTTCCTAAATTACAGAATCAACACACAAACTATATCAAGACTCTGACGTAGAAATGTATACAGAAAAAGGCCCCATTTCTTCTCCTTCAACCGCCTCTCCAGAGGTAACCAGTGTTTACGTTATAAGGCAATTTAATTGCTGGCAGGCTAAAACGAACGTCAAATGTATCTTCCACAGGAATTTATTAAGGCTCGCCTTACGGCCAAACATATGGCCAGTTTTGTGAAAACTTTATAGGCACTCAAAAGAAGGTTTATTCTCCATATTCAGAAGGTAGAATTTAATATCTACCAATTAGACCTACTTGATTATTTTACGACTTTTTATGTCCACTTGAACTTGAAAAGTGAAATAAAGTTTACTCCTACTGAATCTCTATTTTTCCTTTTATTTCCTGTTGTTTTCCTTATGGTCATTAACATCACTTACTCAGTGAATGGCTATTTCTCATGATGAGATCTTCACTGTGGACTGATCCACAGTGCTTTATCATTTTAAAGATGCTTAGTGCCTTCCCCCTGAGTTGAACCTGTCTGCTATTAAGATCCCTATTCCTGCTTTACTTTTTATGCCTTTGATATGCGTTATTTGTTTTAACTTTTCTGAATCGTTTTTCAGATGTCTCTTTTGTATGTAATATTGAACTGGGTTTTGCTTTGTGTTCCAGTCTGAGCACCTTTTTCTTTCAACGGATGAATATAGTGCATTTACATTTATTTATACTGATACGACACATACGTTTGGTACCTGTTCTGTCATCATTTTATTATATTTTCACTTTATTTTATTATTTTGTTTTGTGTGGACAAGATATTTTGGAAGGATTTATTTTCATTGGTAAATTTATTTTATATTCCATCTTATATTTCTTTAGATAATATCTAACTTCTCTATGCTGAAAAATGCTAAACTATATTCCCACTTTAAAAAATATATATATGTATTTCCACTTTAAATAAACTTTTTGAGTTTAATTTTCAAAATAAAAAAAACTGTAGCACGTGTATCTCAGAACAAATATTGAATATTTGGATACTGAATGAATGACAGTATCCAAATATTGAGTTGCAGGTAGAATTAGTCACACCTTTTTCATGGAACCAATTTTTTCCTGAACAAACAACTGACGGATACACTGATTATTTAGACTTGACTACTTGGCAGGTAGACGTTATCTCAAAAATAAATGAAGTGAGCCTTTCATTTCAAGGAAAATAAATGATAGTATATGTTCACAATAACAAAGCTTTCAAACAGAAAGCAGAATTCTGGAAAACTTGGCACATCTGCCACTGTGAGGCTGACAATATTCCAAAACTTAGTGACTCTGATGATGATATTACTGATTTATGATTCTTTGATATTGTAAAATAAAATGTGCCAACATTTGAAAAATCGGCAAACTTAGTAAACCAGTATTTTCCAAATGACCTACAAGATGCTACAAAATTATGCATAGGTAAAGATTCATTCACAATGCAACACAGGCCCATGGATTTTAATGTAACTGAGTACTGAAAGTTCAAGGATAGTTTTTCAGAATCTTCATTGCAACTAACATTTTTGGCGTTTTGGTGTAGCAGAAAAATACGCACAATTATCTGAGAAGGCTATTAAAATATTCCTCCCTTTTCCAACTTCATCTATGTAAAGGAGCATTTTCTTTATATACTTCAACCAAAATAATATGTTGCAACAGACCGACTGCAAGCAGAGATGAGAATCCAGGTGTCTTCCATTAAGCCAAATATAAAGATTTCTGAAAACATAAAACAATGCCACGCTTCTCATGGAAGTTTTCGGCATGAGAAAATACAGGGGGTTTTCTTCATAAAAGATGTTATTCATGTTAACATGTAACAGGTTATTAGTTTTAAAAGAGTTAATAGAGATTCTTAAAATTTCTCAGTTTTAATTTTTTACAGTAAATAATTCTAGATAAACTATATAGACAAAAGTTCTTTGCACTAACCAATAATTTTTAAGAGTTTAAAGAGGTCCTCAGAACAAAGTGTTTGATAAACACTAAAATACAGGAAATTAAAATACCACTGTGCTCAGCTCTATATAAATAAATTTGAATATAATGAAATGGATGATATTCTTAGGAGAAGTATTCCAAAAAGCATTCCAAAGTAAGTAGAAAATCTAAAAAACTAATTATCACAGGAAAAATGACAGCAATGAAAACAGGGAAAGTGGCCAAAGATCTACCTGCACTACATATGCCCAAAAGGGAGAAAAGAAAAAAAGATCCAATTCACATGACTTCTGCCAAGGAACAGCTTCAGGAACAGGTAATTGCAGTATTTGTAAAGCTATTTCAAAGCACTTAAAAGAAAAACTTCCAAGTACCAAAATCTGACAAAGTTCAATTAGAGCAAATCTAAAAAACTCAACTACATGTAAATTTTAAACTCTTTCTTAAACAACAGACTGCTCTCACTTTGGCTATAAAACCCTAGCATTTCAGCGGTTTTTTAAAACTGGGGAAAATGGAACTTACCTTACAAAGAGTTAATTTCCTTAATTTATTAACCAAAAAAACCCAACAGCCCAACAGAAAAAGAGACAAAGGGTATAAACTGATAATTCGAGGACAACAACAAAAAAGAAATATAAACGGCTTGTGGTACTCTACCCCACTAAAAAGGAACGCAAGTAAAAACACCATTTTCTCTCAAATCTCTATTAGCAAAGATCAAAGAGTTTGACACTGTACTGAATGGGCAAAGGCATGGAGAAATCCAAGGCTCCTGAGGTTGGAACTGACTGAGGGCCTTAGGGCACAATTTGGAATTGTATGAAAATGTCCAACTGCATATGGCCTAGCAATTCCACTTTCATAAAATATGTTCTACAGGCATATCTACATACTTGCAAAATGAACCGTGCAAGACACTGAGGGTAATACTGTTTGTAATAGCAAAAAATGGAAACATCCTAAATGTCTACCAATAGACACACTTGCAAATAAATAACAGTTAAATAAACTATGATGCAGCCATACAACATACAACTATGCAGCAGTTAAAAACTATGTGTCAGCTGTACATGCAATGAAATGCACCATCTCCAAGATAAACTGTTAAAAGACTGTGTTAAAAAAGTTAATCTATGCACATGTAAATGTATCTATTTTCCATCTCTGGAGGAAGACAGTACACCTCACTAGACATAACTGGTTACCTCTGGGGAGGGAAACTGATGGCTGGTCACTGACTTCTGACTACATGTTTTGTGTATGCTTGTATTTTGCCATGTGCATTTATTACTTATTGAAAAAAATTTTAATAAAGCGAATGCCTGCTCAGAATCCTCCGCCTTACCACCTCTGAATTTAATCTCACCTTTAGAAATAGGTCAAGACAAAGAAAAATTTTCCTCTACTTCCTGACAATCTTATATCCATCATATTAGAAAACACATTTGAAATTCTTTGAACCTGTTAATCACTTCTACTAGAATATAATTATATTCAGTTTTTATTTATATCAATCAGATGAAACATGTGAGAACATTAATGATCTGTGTACTTACCGAACCTTTTTCCCATTTTCAGTAATTTTTGTTACATTTAATAATCCATATTTCTCTTGACCCTATGATATGGAACAGAGGTATTACTGTTTATAGATCATTCATACAGACAGTGAAGTCCAAATTCTTACATAGGACTGAATCAAAATGATCTGGTACTCTAAATATTAGCTTAAAAGAAAAGATCAGTCAGTGTGTAATATGGTTAGTTCTAGACTACCTTAAGAATATAATTTCCTAATACTTCTGTAAAGTTTTTTCAGTTATTTTTGTAACTAAACACTTGGTCTGGGCTTCCCTGGTGGCACAGTGGTTGGGAGTCCGCCTGCCGATGCAGGGGACACGGGTTCATGCCCCGGTCCGGGAAGATCCCACATGCCACGGAGCGGCTGGGCCCGTGAGCCATGGCCGCTGAGCCTGTGCGTCCAGAGCCTGTGCTCTGCAACGGGAGAGGCCGCAACAGTGAGAGGCCCGCGTACCGCAAAAAACAAAAACAAAAAAACACTTGGTCTTCTCAAGGAATAGCAGCCATAAGGTAAAATCAAATTAAATTTCCACATGAACGCTACAAATCAGCACTGGAAAAATGATTTATGACTTCCTGTTCAAACCAAGTGATACAATGCTATAAATACCACAAAAAAGGAACTGTTTACTTTGCTGTCATTTTAGAACAGTGTAGTCTGAAAATTATTTAAGATACTAACCTACTTTGTCAGAATGTGAAAATAAGTAGGTAGAACAAATGCAGTGACTGTATTTAATAAATTACTTAAAAGTAAGTGGCACTATGCATAGAACTGGCCTTAATGTGGCATAAAGAATTCAATATGTTGCTTCATTAACATATTATCAGATGGCAAATTGAGCGCTGGACAAACTAGATCTATTAGTCAGCTGATGTAAAAAACAGCAACACAGCTTTATCATCAAACCCTAGGAAGGCAAAAGTCACTGTGCTCAAGTTAAATGTTATCTTAAAATTCTTCCAGGTGGAACTGAAGAAGCACTTTCTCATTGCTCTAGCCTTCTACAGTCAAATGAATTTAATCAAAATGCGTTTGTGCCCACAGCAATCATCCATTAGTGAGCACTGTATGAAAATGACCAAGCAGCCAATTTTCCTTCAGTTAAAACACACACACACAACACACACACAGGAAAAAATAGTCTCAATTCAGAATTTATTTCTAACTATTTACCTCAGCTATTTTCTCAATGTACTTTAATTAGAAAAAAAACTCTTTCTTGTATGAGAGATAAACATAGCATTATTTTCTCACTAATGTCTAAAAGATAATGTCTGAAAGTTTTGCCTGGTCTGATAATAACTCACATCTATAGACAAAGCTGACAAACTATTATGTTATTCACTTTTGTTATACTGGGAACTTGGGAAATATCCATATTACTACAATTTTTTCACAAAGCATAGGTTAGATCTCCTTAGATATGCAAGTCTGATACATTTCGTAAGAGCTCTCTGTTGCCTCTCAATAAAAATATCAATTACACGGTGATAAGTATGTACAGGACGTTAAGTAAGAACCTTCCCAATTTACCATCAGAAGCAGGGAGGGAAAGAAAAACTTTCAATGATCCAGGAACTAAGTAACATTAATCTGAGAGGATGGGCGCTGGTGATGTGAGCACAGGAACTGGAAGGGCGGAGGTGGGAATAGCCTAGTAAAGAACACCAAAGCTGGAACTATGCAGGGTGAAAAAGCAGACACAGGAAGGAAATGCCAGCATCCAAACAGGAAGAAAAATGGAAGGGACAGCAGCAGTGACAGACGGCCAAAGCCTACGGGGGAAAGAGACGCTCTGGATCAGGGATTCTTACCTGAGTCGTGGCTGGACCAACACCGCACATAATCGTGCGTGTACATGCATCGCTCAAGGGAAAGGCCCAGAGCTCCCATGAAATTCTCACAGGGACCAAGACCCAAGCACTAATGCTCTAAGCGGTAAGCACTCTAACGTGAACATAAAATAAGAACAAAATGTGCCACGTCCCAAACGTACCAATACAATGACCATTACCACGCGGTGTGCAAAGTCAGAGTGCTCTGAGGAAGGCATACCTAACTCCACCTGAGAGGGGAGCAGGGAGGAAGAGGAGCTTCCCGGAGACCCTGACCCAGGAGCGAGCAACAGGAGTCGGCCACACAGAAGCGACGGACAGGCGAAGGCACAGAAGCTGGAAGCGCATCATCTCTACGCGGCTTAGTTCCCTCAGCGTACGGGGTGCAGCAGAGCAGCAGCAAGAGAGAGGGGGCAGCGGAACGAGCAAGGCGGGAGCAGGCGACGCAGCGCCACCGGAACGGTGTTCTGATAACTCCTATCAATGCAAGAGGTGCTGACGGCCTGGCCCAGGGAGAGGCCTGAGAGGGTGAAGAGGGGCCACACGTGAGCGCGACTCGGAAGGCAGGACTGACAGGGACAGGACGGGAGGTAAGAGGCAAGATCGGGGAGACTCCCAAGCTTGAGCAGCTGGGTGGCTGGGGGCCCTCAGCTGCAACGACAAGCTTTAGAGGAGCCGTCCCTGACCCCTGCGGTAGGAGCTCCTCTGCCCTCCAATGACTGACGACAGCCCCCAGGTTGTTTCCTTCGTCGCACCTAATGCAAAGCACAATTACGTATTATTTATTCGCCACCTACTGTCAGGCTGTCCGTCGGGACCACATCTGCTGTGCTCACCATGTATGACAGCGCCCAGCACAGCGGCTAGCATGGTGCCGGGGCTCAACACATGTTTGTTGAAGTAATTAACCAACAAAGCAGCCGTGCTATCACACTACCAAGAAATGTAAGAGAAGGTCAGTGATGGAGAAAATAAAGCTTTAACTTTTAAACACTGAGGTTCTGAATTTGACATAAAAGTGACAAGCAGGCAGATACAGGTGTAGATTTCAGGGGGGGATTTAGGCAGATTACCATTTCATACTGTGTGGTGTACTCTTCTCTACTTAACATGATTCAAAGTCAACCAATGTTTTTGTGTAGCTTACTAAAATAACTTCATAAAAATACCTTGTTAAGTCCTTTAAAAACTGCCCATACTCACACATGAATATTTCTTAGTCTAAATATGTCGATACTCTAAGGGAAACTTTGTGTTGAAAATAAGCAGGAATGTTTTAATATGAACTGGCAAAATATGGTTAAATTTTAACCAAAAATATTGTAGTAAGATTGTCCTATCCTAATTAAGGCAAGAAAACAATAAAATGTCAGTTCTATTGAGTAATCTGGGAAAACTTCCACAGGTTCATAATCACTTTGCAGGCTCCAGAATTTCTAATCGATTTTACATTCATTTAGTAAGATAAGCATTTCCCAGTTTTGGCTAATAATTATTATATATCAAAATCAATACCTCCCATTAAAATCTTTATCTTCAGTTAATCATGTTATAATCATGTAATAAAAAGATTCTTTCTCTACAGAGTAAGTAACCTTGCCCTGTGGTATGCTGAAAAAGAACCAGCGTGACAGAACTTCCAGAGCAGGTAGATCCATGCAGACCCTCAAACCAGAGGCTGCCGTGCAGAGGGGAGGAGAGGTGGGGAAAGGGGCAGTGACTGCTTAATGGTAGGGGGCTCCCTCTGAGGGGATGAAAGTGTCCTGAAACTGGGCAGGAGTGACAGCTACACACATTTTAAATACACTAAAGCCACTGAACTATATAAAGTGGTTAATGGCTAATTTTATGTTATGTGGATTTCACCTCGATTAAAAAAAATGTTTAAAGAACCAGTGTTATAAAAAATTGTTAAAATCATGTTTTTAAAAAAGGCTTTAGAATAGTAATATTCAATGAAAAAAAATTAGCCGATTTGTCCACTAAACCCTTTTGGTAACGAACGTGTTGAAATGCCCTTTTCTCCAAAGTGGGTAAAGCATTTTAATACCATAATTGGAAACACAAGGTCAAAAGTTCAAGTTTCCAAATTATATACTTAAAATTGTATTCAGTATTCAGTAAATGAGAACTTTAAATGCATATCCTCATAGGCACACTGGGACAAACAGAGACGAGGTTCTTAGATCAGCCTACAAAATCCTATTTAATCCATGTGTGGCAGTCATATTTTAGAGAAATATCAATTTTAAAAAAATGTATACACTACCTATTTCAAAAAAGGACTTGAGGGCCTCCCTGGTGGCGCAGTGGTTGAGAGTCCACCTGCCGATGCAGGGGACACGGGTTCGTGCCCCGGTCCGGGAGGATCCCACATGCCGCAGAGCAGCTGGGCCCATGAGCCATGGCTGCTGAGCCTGTGCGTCTGGAGCCTGTGCTCCGCAACGGGAGAGGCCACAATAGTGAGAGGCCCGTGTACCACAAAAAACAAACAAACAAAAAAACAGGACTTGAAGTGACTATGAAAAATAACAATGCATTTGAAAACTGGAAATAAGACAAGAAAAAATGAACATGTTTAAAATTTAGATTAAGGGATGAAATTTTAATCTGGTTTAATTGGAGGAGACTGAATGAAAGCATCATATGCTACGTGAATAAAGCCTGTCAAACAAGACCACGTGTTCTATGACTCCACGCATGTGAAGTGTCCAGAAGAGGCAGACCTAGTGAGATAGAAAGCACATTGCTGGCTGCTTAGGGCTTGATGGGACGTGGAAGCAGAGGGGTGACAGCAACAAGTACTGCTTTTTGAAGTGATGAATGTTCTAAAATGACGGTCCTGATGGGTGCACTTATCTGAACATACTAGAAACCAATGAACTGTACACTTTAAATGGGTGAACGGTGTAGTATGTTAGTCATATTTCAATACGGTTTTAACAAAAAAAAACAAAAAAAGAGAGATTCAATAGGCAATCTGCAGAGATTTAAAGATGCCGTGAGGTAACTAACACTGATTACGATGTCAGTTTCTTTCTCTTACCACTAAGGCGTTACACCAACCAGATTTTAACTCACAAAGAACCAAAAAAAAGAAATCTGCTTGCATTAACTGGGTAAGAGTGGGAAAGACAGGCAAAAGACTCCATTCAAACAGGGCAAGACGAGAAGAGGGAGCAGAGGCTGCAGGAGGAAAGAAGAGACTCTGGGGAGCAGAAGCCCGGGGGGGCCAGACTGGGGCTTGGGGGAAAGGACGCTGCACACTTACAGGGAAACAGAACAGCCTCAGCAGAATTAACAGAGCTGTTCCTGTTTTCCACCCGAAGGTAAATGAAGAACGAAACAGAACCCTGCTGAGGCAGTTCCTTGCCGTGGCCACCAGAGGGGACCCTGAGTCTGGGGCAGTCAGGTGACTGGCAAACTCTTGTGAAAGGGGTAACTGCCTGGGGGAATAATTTGCAAACCGTCCTTTTAACTCCCATGCGAACACTTATAAACTCATGTTTCCAGGATTACCAAGAAATTCCCTTTTACCAAAATGTAAATAATTTATAAAAGGTCTTCTCAGAAGTTACATATTACCCATATTTAAAATAAGTTAAAAAGCGTTTCTGCCTCTTTTCTAGATGGATGGATAGATTAAGAATACTGCAGTAATAGCACCTTACATTCATACAGGAAATCCTGACAATACCACTAAAATCATGTTCACTTTGATCTTTATTTAATGTTCATGCACCCAGGACTGTGTTAAATAATGCAAAAGATAAAAAGTATTAGAAAGCAGCCCCTCTCTCTCTCAGTCCCTTCAAAGTTTAAACCCTTAGCAGAGAGCTGAGGGGCACATGAGGTAACTTTCACACCATTAATGCCATCAGTGACTTGAGAGCTCAAAGAAAAAGAAGAGATGCTATTATGCTGAGGTTAGTGTGGGCAGGCCCTAAGGGGTCATCCCACTGGTCAGCACAAGATTAACTGTAGGTGCAGAGAGGCTGAGGACCACGGTAGGCAGGGAAACCACCTGTGCAATATCAGCAGGACGGGTGGACAACACGTGATAGGAACCAAAAGACCTGATTTGCTCAGGGGATGGAGAAAAGAGCCAGACAAGGAAAACAGCATCTGTGAGAAACCTGTGCCTCTAGAAAATCAGAAGTATCCTAATAAACAAGAGTCTATTATAGTTTCTTAAAATTAAGGAAGTAACAATAAAAGTTTGTCTTCTGGAAAGCTTTAAAAGTTTCATTTCTTCCTTTTGGCAAAACCCCACGGAACAGCGGCTCTATGGTACTGGGGTTACGCTGGCCCTGCTCTAAGGAGTCTTTTCCTTGTCTAGTGGGGAAGACATTAACTGAGGGTTGGAAGTTCCTACAAGAAATAGGAAATGAGAAGAGTTACTCGATTTTACGGAATCAAATAACATATAATTAAATGTTATTAAGAGTATCACAGGGAAACCTGACCAAGTCTAGAGGATCTGAAGAAAATTCCGAGCCTGAACCAAGCTCTAAGGAATGACCAGAAGCTGACCAGGCAAAGACGTCGGGGAAGATGGGTTTCAGTGCGTGAAGGGGCTGGAGCTGAAGAGCAGGCTCCTTTGCAGAGAGTAGAGTAGCAGGGCTGCAGGAAAACACGCAAGTGGGGGCAAGGAGGGGGTATGAGGACCCGGGACAGGCGCAGTGTTGCAGAGCTCGTCACAAAGTTGCATCCTCCTTCTAAAATGAAAGAAGAGCCGCTGGAGGGGAAGAGCAGGAGGGGCAAATCACAGGCTAGACTTGGGGACGGGGGCGCTGCAAACACCAAGATCAAATAGGATTCCTCCAAAGTTACGACTGAAGAGAAGGGCTTCCCTGGTGGCGCAGTGGCTAAGAATCCACCTGCCAATGCAGGGGACACGGGTTCGAGCCCTGGTCCGGGAAGATCCCACATGCCGCAGAGCAACTAAGCCCGTAAGCCACAACTACTGAGCCCACGTGCCACGACTACTGAAGCCCACGCACCTAGAGCCCGTGCTCCACAACAAGAGAAGCCACCGCAGTGAGAAGCCCGTGCACCGCAACCAAGAGTAGCCCCCGCTCACCACAACTAGAGAAAGCCCGCACGCAGCAACGAAGACCCAAGGCAGCAAATAAATAAATGAATAACTGAAGAGAAGTCACTGTATCGCCAATATTACCTGGCCTAGGCTGGGCAATGCATTTGACAGCTTAGCGGGGGGGGGGGGGGGGGGGGGAGTGCGGGAAGGCATCTAACGCTCGTTAAGAAGGAGGGAAATGATTCTTACCTTTGGACTGCTGGCCTGAGGAAGGAAGGGTAAAGTGTAATTTGACAGTATTCTCCAGGGATTTTTATATTTATGTTTAACAGCCAAACATAAATTCACTGCTTACAAATATGGTATACAAGTTGATCACGAAGATACCATATTTTACATAAAAGGGGGAATTTTTAAATCAATAAAATCTGATTTTTAATTTAAACCTATTATCTGATTATTTTTTGAAAGACCAATGAAATTTAATAGAAGCCCAAGAGGTATTTTTAAACATTACACTTAGAGAAAATTAATTTACTGAAATTGATTGAAGTAATTGGACTATATTATCTATAAGCTGCTATCATACTAACTGTATCTTGGTTCTTTGGTGAAGAGGGAGAAGACTCATTTTCAGGATAGCAGGGTTTTGAGGCAGTTGGAGATTCCTACAAGAAATAAGTAATGAAAAATGTTACTCTATTTCATATAATTATATTTCTCCCTCTACTGACAGTGGGAAGGCTTAATAAGGGATGCTAAGAAAAATTTTTTCCTAGTTATTTCCCTTCTATATTCAGCTACGAAACTAATATGGTACAGATGTGAAAACTACAGATATCATAAAGTTTGCGAAATATGGCATATTTTATACCAATTACAGTAAATTTAAATACCGCATACGGAATTACTCAAAAGAAATGATGCATGTTGCCTTAAAATCATGATGTTGCATCAGCTTAAATTAACCATATTTAAAATAAGTAAAATCCAAACACTTACGGATAAAAATGTAACAGTCCCCATACTAACTTGCTCTTGGTATGAACCCTGGTTTAGGATTTAGGATTAGGCAAGGAATAGTCACAGGAACTACTTGGCAACTGCCAGAATGAGAACTTGTATTAAGAAATTAAATTGCTATTAATATTTAATATAATTTATAGCTAACTTTCCAATTATTAGAAATAAGCAAGATTGTTTAAAATGCAAAGAAGAAACCTCAGATTTACAGCTTAATAACTCACCAGGAAAAAAAAATATTTTAATGTCTAAGCCTACAAGAATATATAATAGGAGCAAACCAATAATGTGCATTTTTAAAGCAATTCTGCTTTGTTAATATTAAAACATGGTATGTGATTTCTACCTCAGATATCTGTAAAACTATTCATGGAGGATAAGACTGAAAAAACATTTTTTGGTACCAAGAGCCACTCGTAGCCAATGGTACCAATGGTATCTACCAAGCTCCATTTTTCTCTGTTCTCCTAAAAGCTCTGAATAATCTCAGGAAACGAGAATTAGGAAAATCATATGCCAATGTCTATTACTATTTTTCCTATAAAACCAAGCAGTTTACTTGGACATTCATCTTCACATCTGCATCATCTACTTTACTATACTTATGAAACTGGATAACGTACTGTTGATAAGCCTGGGAATTTGTATTAAATCACAATACAAAAAACCATTAATAAAATCCATTCACTTAGAAAGACGTCTCCAGGTTTATATCCTGTACAATTCGTAAATACAGAAACCAGGTAGCAGTGAAACTGCTGAAGGTAACAATCTTAAAATCCAAGACCTACACTATAAATAGAGAAAACATTAAAATCATTATCAAATATATCTTTATAAAAATTAATTACATTTAATGTCCAAATATCAGTTTAGCTTCATTTAAGTATTTTTATTAACAGCTTCAGATGTTTTACTTTTCAATTTCTTGACTTCTAAAAGCGTCTAATATTAAAACACTCTGAGAAAAAGAGGAAAGATTTGATGACCCATAAACTATAAAATAAGTAATTGAATAAAATGAATGGTAATTACAACTTATTTTTCATGGCATTATCAGTCCTACAGAAATGAAAACCATAGCAAATGGAGTAATAATGTAAACACAACAATTATAATTATTATAAACAATTTTACATTTACCCATTTGTTTATGTATACTTATAAATGTATATGCACATATAAATACATCTTAATGTCTACAAGCAGCAGGTTTTGGTAAAAATCATACATAGGCAGAAACAAACAGATGTATCCATACACACACACACGCACACACACCTAGCTCCACCAAGGTTGTCTGGCAACCGAATTAGGACCCATATCATCATAACAACATTCACTACATAGTATTAGGTTTCTCTGATTACCTTTCAAGTTATACGCATTTCACCCCTTATCAAATATTAGTCAGCTAATCTGGTATAGTATCAAATATTATCAAATATTATATAGCTAATCTGGTATCTGGTATAGTCCCTCTTTTATAATCTCAAATCTTAAAATCGTGTATACTGTGTAATGATAAATAGAAGAGTTTACTTGGTGAAGTAGCTATCTATGACTCCATTTATAAAGGTGGGGGGGGGAGACATGTCTACCAAAAATAAGTAGAGCTCTGGTCTCAAGAAAATCACGTTATCACATGCTGAAACAATTAGATGAAAAAGAATACATAATAAGAACTTCACGCAGGTTATTCTAATAATAGACTGAAAATGAATCTCAAGAAAGATTGTAAGGGAGTAACAAATTTTAAGTCTACGTCACTAAAATAACCATCCCTTTTGTTCTAGTACGAAGAGGCAGTAGAGTTGGCTCAACAACGGCTTTCGCACTAGAGCTTTCATTACATACAGTAGGAGCTTTCTGTATACACTGAACTGTAATCTGGTTCTTGGAGTTAAATGAATGTTTCTATTAAAATCTCTAGGACTCTTACCTACACAGGTTAACCTCAATGCTAGTATACTGGGTTGGCCAAAAAGTTCGTTCGGGTTTTCCCACAAGCGCTTATGAAAAACCCAAAGGAACTTTTTGGCCAACCCAATATTTTCAAGCATTCTTCAATAGACAGACTCCAAACTTTCATTCCTTTAATATGCCCCCTACATTCAACCACATCACATCCTTACAGATAGAAATCAGAAGTACTTGTCTGACTGACTGACTGACTGAGATAATTTAGAAAGGAATTTAGGACTGAAGGCACACAAACACAGAGAAATACGCCTCAGGAGAGTTCATCCTGTTTTCACTAACTACCTAAAAATGCAGGAAACATTAATTATGTCAAAGGAGCAGCCTGGTGGTAAAATAACAGAGTCCCCAGCGACCAATATTTTAGCTTTAGGGTGTTTCCACCACCCTCAGATTTTAACATTAGTATGTCTGCTGTTCTACAAATTCGTACTAATTTCCTATTCTATCCCCAAAATGAAGTCACAATGTAAAGATGTAACTCACAAGGAAATTCAAAACTTCATGGCTTTTCCAATCTCATGTTTGCATCAAAATCCATTCCCTGGGGCTTCCCTGGTGGCGCAGTGGTTGAGAGTCCGCCCGCCGATGCAGGGGACACGGGTTCGTGCCCCGGTCCGGGAAGATCCCACATGCCGCAGAGCGGCTGGGCCCGTGAGCCATGGCCGCTGAGCCTGCGCATCCGGAGCCTGTGCTCCGCAACGGGAGAGGCCACAGCAGTGAGAGGCCCGCGTACCGCAAAAAAAAAAAAAAAAATCCATTCCCTATTTGAAACAGAGAACATGACTTCTCAGAAGCACTTGTGCAAATAGCACTTAGGGAAACAGGAGGAGCAGGGTTCCAATCTTCCCTGGGATGGGAAAGTTAGTTAAACGTCTTTACCGTTAAACCTCCTAGAGACTGAAGACAAACAACGGATATGTGACTTTAAAAAGAGATTATGAAAAAAAACCTGTCACCTACTAGGCCCAAATGTATCATGGAACACATCGTTATGCCACATGTAAGTCAGTCCGCTGTGCAAAACTCAAAAAACTTCAATACCAAACCCCACTCCGGGACAAACTGATATGACATACGATAAACCGGTCATCACCAAGGTATGAGGTTCAGCTGAGGAGAAAACACAGCATAAAGAACTTGGCAGAGTTCGCAGCAGATGTTCTCAGAAGGTCCTACCTTGTCATTGGCGTCCAGCACAATGGTGCTATGTCTCCACTTTGTCAGCACTATTGGTTCTTGCAGCCGCCTGTCCAGACTCCTACTTTTAATAATTTCTCTTTGCTGCTGAGATGAGGCATTATACTAAAGAAAACAAATTATACCTCATAAATAATAGAAACAAAAGTGGAATCTAAACATGCTGGCTCCGAGTGACACATGGTGTTAGGCAAAATTCACCACGTGACACTAACCTGAGTTCTCTCATCTTTGACCAGCACTGTGACACTATCAAGAAGATCACAGACTTGGGTACTGGAGAGACCAAGTTAATGTTATCTTTGGCAAAACACTTAATCTCCACAAGGCTAAGTTTCATCAACTATAAAACAGATATAACGGAAATAGGGTTCTAAGGACGAAACAGTATAAAAAGTGCCAGATGTAGCCCAGATAGGTTCTCAATAAATATTAGTAGTTATAATTTATAAAATGAGGTCACTGGACAAATTAATTTTTTAAGGTTCCTTCTACTTCGAAAATCCACGTGAATTCAATTTGTGGTTTAGGTTTTTTTAAAGATGCTTTCATATACAACAGTATTCTCACATTTAAAGTTGTTTTTGTTTTTACTTTTACTTTCCATATATAGGCCAAACACACTATTATTTGTTTCTCTGAAGTGGTGAAACATAACCGAGTCAAAAGGCAGAGACGGTACTCCTTCCAAACACCAATCCTGAACATACCAGTTGTGTACAAAGGCTAAGTAATAACTACCAACTGAAAATGAAATATAAAATTAAGAACACATTATCAATAAGGTATTAGGTCTTGTGAGTATCTGAAATGTCAAGTAGACCACCAGGCATAAACATTTGCGAAATGCGAGGTTTAAGAGTTATGCCGTTTTATACAGGCAGTTTTAATAAATTATAAATAATAAATTATAATAAAATGACAAAAGAAAATTCACCTGCTTTTTAAGGGATACATCCTTCTCCTGAAACCAAAGGATACCTAATATCTACTTCTCTAAAAAGCCCAGTAAATCTTAAATTTTAATGACTTGTAATTTCAGTGAAATATCTTATTATATGTTACACTACTAAATCTCAGTAATATATTATTTATATTGTTTTTAAAATTTAAAAACCTTCCAACATCTTTCTCCATAATATGCCATTTCTTCACTTTCCAAAATGAGTCCAGACAGGTCCCCCAAACTGTTTCCAAAGCTGTTACTTCGTTTTTTACATTAAAAACTTGCCAAAGCCGGGCAAGCACATGCGGGTGTATGTTTTTCATTCACTGCTGCTTAACAAACCGCCATCGTAAAATCTGTCACAGAAGTTAACAAAGGGATCACTTCTAGAATGAACAAAGACGAAGCTTAAAGCCTTCCCCCCAAAAACTTCTGCGCCGTAAATCACTAAGTGAAGAGAGACCGAGTTATTAAGCAGAGCTCCTTCCAGACAATCATCATTAGCAATAATTAAAATGTGTAGATGAGTGGAAGCTTGTGTGTGGACTTTAATGGATACCTACCCTAGCTGTTGAGCTTTATAACTACAGTTGTTTAGAAATCCTTTCCAAGGGGCAAGAAAAATAATGTAAAATTAAACTGGGTAATATTCACAATTTAAAAGGTGCTGGTAATTTTATTAGGCAACAGTATGTTGATTAAAGCACCAATAAAATGTCATATAAAATCTAGTGTAGACAGAAGACAAAAATAAAGTGTCACATAATCAGAGAAAAGAAAAATAAGATGACACCACAGCTAAAATACACACACACACACGTGTAGTTAAACAAGATGGCTAAAACAACATTTTAGAAATCTTTTTAGAATACCTTTTTTCTTTTAAGAATTTTAATTGCAATTTTATTTGAATTATTTCAAACATACAAAAGAACAGCGACTATAATAAAAAACCCACCACAAGCTCCAGCATATCTAACATAAAACAGGTACCTTTTTTTTTTAAAGAAAAAAAATACTAGAGTCCTCTGAAGACATCTTCCAGATTCCATTCCTCTCCCTCCCTCCCTGACAGTACCATATAGTTCAGTGCTCACCATTCTCACGCACTTTACACTTTAGTACATATGTATGTATCTGTAAATACACAGTACCTGTAAGCTTTTAGATTTTATAAAAGTGGAATATCACATGCATCAATCTTCAACTTGCTTTTTCACTCAACATGTTTTTATTAAAACAAAAAAACCTGCATCCACATTGGTGAGTATGCAGCTCTAACTCATTTGTGTTTCACTTCTGTGTAACACTACATTATATGCAGATACCACGACCATTCTGTTGTAAATGGACATGTCCGAGGTAGTAGTACTAATTACACTTCTACCGGCAGAACATAATACTTTGGACTGCCCTACTTGGTACTGTTGAACTTATATGCATTTGTGTATAAAAAATAAATGTATGCACACGTGCACAAATTTTTAAAATTCTATTAGAAGAGTGAAATGTTATCTCTTTTGCCTTCTCTGATTACTTATAAATTTGAACATCTTTTCATATACTTATTTCATGAATCTCCTCTTCTCCGTATTGCTTAGTCATATACTTTGCCTGTTTTTGACTGGGTTCTCTCTCTCACTAGTGTGTACAGAAAGAACCAAGAGGCTCTTTATATATTTAGGCTTCTAAGGCTTCGTAAGCTATGTGAGTTGAATGTAGCTTTTCCGAGTCTGAAGCTCATCTCTTGCCTTTTGTGTACGGTATCTTTTGTATCAAAAGGTGTTCTGTTGAATTTTATGTAGTTGTGTCTGTCCATCTTTCCCTTTATAATTTTTCCTTATATAGTCTTGTTTAAGAAATCCTTCCCATTCTTAAGTCAAAGATATTCTTTGACATATTCTTTAGCTATTAAAGTTTTGCTTATTACGTTGACAACTGTCATCTACCTGGAATTAATTACTAGGTGTGAAGTCAAGATCTATGTTTATTTCATTTCTTCATGTGAATAACCAATAATCTTCCCAACATTTATTGCACAGCCCACGCTTTATCTGTTAATTTGTGATGCCACATCTGAGATTCCTATTCTGTTGTGCTGGTCTATTTCTCTACACATGTGCCCACAACTTAATCACTACAGCAGGAACCCCATCCCTACCCCCAGATTCTCCCTACTTAGGAACATTTTGGTTCTTCATAGACCTTTGTTTGCAAATAAAATTTACCATCAGTTCAAGACAAAAAAAAGGTAGGGACAGCGACAGGAAATGGAAATACAGTGAACTTACTGATCAATGGGGACATTTATAAAATTAAGCGTCCCAACCCAAGGTCATAATGGTGTATTGCACCATTTCAGGTCAACTTTTATGTCCCTCAATTCTGCTCTGAAATTTTCTTCATTAAGATCTTACAAACCAAACCTTCTGCAGGCGTATTCTTAGTTATGACTCTTCTTAGCGTTGCTGCTGCTTCTAATGTAAAAAAGATCTTTATTCCTATCACGTTTTCAAATTGACTTTTTATTAGAGACATGGGTGCTTTTTAGGTTGATTTTAATATCATCACTCTTCAGTTTGCCGAATCTCCTGATTTTCTAATAATCAAAAGAACTGAATCTTTCAATTCATTTTTTTTTTCTTATTTTATTGTTGAATAGAAACACTGATGGGAAAGTTACAGTCTAGGTCCTAACTCTATTGGCAAAGCTTCTGTAATCGCACCATGAAGTATGAGGTTTACTGTTGATTATATGATAAATAACCTTTAGCATGATGTAATATATCATTACATGTGAAGTGATCTTTTTGTAGAAACATATAGTTGGGTCATGGTTTTTTGTCATTTCTGATTAACAGCTGTGTTTAAACCATTTACACTTAATGTAATTATTTATATGTTAGGATTTAAGTCTATTTTATTTGTTTTCTGTTCTGTTTATCATTCCCGTTTCTCCTTTCTGGCCTTCCTGTGGACTACCCTGAGGAGTTTTTACTATTATAGTTTAATTTACCTGTAGTTTCTTGAGTCTATCTCTTGTTACAGTTTCTTAGTGCTTGCTCTAGGGATTACAATGTACACACTTAATTTCTCTCAGTCTACCAACATCAGCATTTTACTATTTCAAGTGAAATGTGGAAACCTTACCAACAATTACATCATAGTACTCTCCCCTCTCTATGATATAGTTGTTTTAAATATCATCTCCGCCTACAATGAGTACTTCTTCAGAAATGTTATAATTTTTGCTTTAAAGGTCAAACATAATTTTTAAAACTCTCCTCAGATATTCATGCTTCCCACTGTACTTTCTTCATTCATAATGTTCCAAGTTATCTTCATTTATCATTTCTCTTCTGTTTTAAGGACTTCCTATAGCAATTATTTGAGAACAAGACTGCTAGTAATATATCTCTTAGTTTACTTTCATCTGAAAATGTCTTCATTTCACCTTCATTCCTGAAGGATATTTTTGCTGGATGTACAATTATGGGTCGACAGGTTTTTTTTTCAGCATTTGTAAAATGTTACACCACTTCCTTCTGGCTTCACGGTTTCTGATAAGACATCCATGCCATTCAAATCATTATTACCCTACAGGTACTATGTTGTTTCACTGAGCTGCTTTCAAGATTTTTTTTGGAGGAGGAAAAGGGAATTCATTAGTGTTCAGGCACCTGGGTGTGGGTCTCTCTGAGTCCACCCTGTTTAGGGGAATTCATTAATTTTCAGGCACCTGGGTGTGGGTCTCTCTGAGTCCACCCTGTTTAGGGGAATTCATTAGCGTTCAGGCACCTGGCTGTGGGTCTCTCTGAGTCCACCCTGTTTAGGGGAATTCATTAGCGTTCAGTGCACTGGGTGTGGGTCTCTCTGAGTCCACCCTGTTTAGGGGAATTCA